GCTACATGGAGTCAGAAGTGGGCGTTTTAAAGTGTCTCCATAGCTATGTAAGGTAGCTTTCACACAACCCTGACAATCTAGCTCATCCACTGAGCCGTTGTCCAAATGAGAGCTGTCTCGGGCATTGGTACTGCACAGGGAGACAGATCTCCTGGGAAATTTAACTGAGGATAAATTACCACACCGTGGTGTGTGTATCTCTGCATTAGATTCATTTTAATCAAACAAGTGCTGAGTACTTATTCCTAACTGGAGTTATTGCCCGGAAATCCAGCATACAACAGTCTTAATCTTCAGCATGGTGTGAAACAGCTAATCCCTTCTGTTCTTCTCCCCAACCTGGGAAGATTATGTCTTTTGTTTTCTAAATTAAATGCTGGCCTTCTGTATTGGAAAGAAAAGTCAGAGTCCTGAGACTCAAAGGGCATACAGCCTCTGGCCACTTAGTGCCGAGGGCAGGTGAGGTGATCCAGTGGGCAGAGGGGCCCAAAGGAAGCAACTAACAAGGCAGAATATATTTGAAATCAGTTTGAAAAACAGGAAGGTTTTCTTGCACGTGGGGGGCAAGAAAGCTGTTAGAAATGTAACGAGGTCAGGGGAAAGAATGTGTGACAGGCAGGTAGGAACTGCTTACAGTAAAGAACCGATGGCCCTGTGCACTGGTAAGCCTGTGGGCCTTCCTGACAATGAGGGTCTGACTGCTGGGGGAGGGAGAGTCTCTTCCTTAGGGATGTGTTCCCTGAGAAGTTACCTGTGCCACGGCAGATTGTCCTACTAGCATGCGTGTCCTACTACCAGGCAGCTCTAAGTGGACTCAGTGGTTTTTAAAAAGAGCACATGAAGTTTGAAAAAGTTGTGGTAGGGAGGAGAAGCGGGAAAAGGGGAGGCATATTTGACCAAAATGTATTATATTCATGCATGAAGTTCTCAGACAATTTGTAAAGCTTGTAAATTTGTAAAGCTTGCCAAAACCCAGAAACAACCCAAAAAAATCCAACAGTAGACTTAATGAGGAAATTATACTATTTCGTTCAGCAAAATATAAATGAAATAAAATAAAAATACATTATGTTGTATGTAGTTTACATACAACAACCAGAATGCGTCACACGACAGTGCAGAATGACAGAAGCCAGACACTCACACTCCTAAACTGCTTGTTGTGAGTCTCCAACCCCGATTCTATTAGACAAAGTTGGCAAGACTAACTTCGTCTTAGAAGTCAGGCAAGTACTGTTGGTGGTTAGTAGGGATTAGAAGGAGGCACCAGTTGGATTTCTGGGCTACTCTTTGTGTTCTTTTGCAACTGAGATGGTAGCATAGACCAGTTCACTTGGTGGCAGTGTATTGCACAATTCTTAAGGTTGACTCTTTTTAAATAAGTCTAAAATTGGCCTGGCCATCAAGGATTGGGCTTGTAAGAGCTAAGAAGATCCTGAGAACCTCTGCCTATCTTATTAGGTGCATTTCTAGGGTTAAGAAGACTGAGTTGAACGTGAGACCACAGTGACAGAAAAGCAGGATGGAGCAGAAAACGTGGGGATCTCTTGGTACCCGAGCATTGAAGCAGTTCCCACATTATGGGAGTGCTAAGGGCTTTGGACTTTTGTAATCAATTGTCTTAGGGGGTATGTGGACAAAACCATGCAGAAAAGTCTAAACAGAAAGGACAAGGGGTTAACATCAGGCAGTGGTCTGATGAGAGTTCCGCTTTGTCATATTGCCTCTTCTCCTTTGGAATGCCTTCCACAGTGTGGACGGGGGGGAGGGGAGGGGGAAATAACCTAGGCCATAGGACCTGCCTGCTTTTCCATCTAGAGAGGAGTCATTCAGTTTCCCAAAAGAATGAGCTGTCAGCCATAGATTGCAACCTCAGCTGTTGGCCTCTGTGGAAAAGGGTTGACCTAATGGGGGAAAGTAATAAAGAGGCACTTCTGGAAATAGTGGGTCTCAATAGGACCATTGTTGATGCAGAAAGCAGCCCTAGAGAGAAAAGGGTTAAGGGTTTTTCTTGGCATTTGAGCCAAGAAAATGCCAGCAGGATGGCACATGATAGGAGTCTGAATACGATAATGGAAAGAGGCATGAAAATGGGAGCATCTGAGGATTTAGATATAAAGAAGCCAAATCAGGAAGTTAGGGACAAAACAGATGAGAGTGAGGAACTCACCATAAGCATGCACATAGACAGACTTTCCACTTTTCAGCCAGAATCACATAGATAGTGATGTGTGGACCCTAAGATGACTAGCCCTGGGCTGAATATACAAGGCCCAGGTTTTGCTAACTCCAAATATTGAAGGCATTTTCAGTATAACATCATGAAAAGTTGTGGGCCTTCAACAGTATCCCAACCCCAACTGAAGTGGGCAAATAAAGAGGGTCATGCCTGCCTTCAGTAAGATCTGCTTGTAGTGGGGAATGGATTCAGAAAGATAAAAACCAAACCTCTCCCGAGACTTGTGTCTGCTTACCGTAAAAGCTGGTCTGTGGATGAGCAGGAGGTGTACTTAATGCTAGGACAAAGGTACTATGTACTATGTGACCAGGGTTAGCATTTAGTGTAGCCCCACTAAGGCTGCCATCTTGTTTTCCTCTCAAAGTTTTCTTACCACACGATGGTCATCTTGCCAGAGTGTAGAATGAGTTGGGAAGTCATTGTTAAAACACAGGCAGTTTGAGCATTGGGAAGGGTATGGGTGTGACCAGATTCCAGCATGGTTCTCAGGAAATCTTAGAGGAAAGTTGTTCTATGCATGGACTGAGTGATTTCGCATAGCATTTTTAAAGGTGCAACTTTAATTAGAAGTTTCTTTGGTCCTGCAAAGAGGAAATATAAACAAATAACCAAGTCCATTCCTGACTCTGCCCACCTTGATTCCAAGCCTAGCATTTCATTTGCAAAACAGGCATAGCCAAGGTTTTCTAACTTCACCCATGAGGGGTGATATATAGCACATATAGCACGATGATCTCAGATGTTGGTTCTGTGATGTCTGCAAGAAAAGGGGTGTCTCACTAAAGGGTCATTATAGAACATCTTCAGCCAAGGAACAAAATTCTACTCCCAAGCTGGGCTGAGCTTACAGGATGACAGGGATGAAGAATTCTTCTCAGGTTATGAACAAGTAAGAGGCTCAGACAGATCAACACTATGGACACCCTTAAGCATAATAGAGCCATTGCTGGGGTAACCTCTGTTGGTCCTAGCTGTCCTGCTCCTGTTCACCCCGGTCTTGGTATACCCCTTTCTAAGGGTCAATTGCTCTTGCCTTATGTATCTCCCCTGTAGAAGAGGACAATTTCAAAATCCATCACAGATATAGCACAAATCATGATTTATCAGATGTCCCGGGACTTGGCAAGATTCCTCTCTCCTGTCTGCATGTGATTGACAGCCTATTAAACATCTCTACACTCAATTTCTGCAACTGTTAAGATGGGGTGCTGGTAACTGGTATTTCCTTATGGGACCGTGGAAAGGACAAAATACAATTCCAGTGATTACAGTCCTCTTCCCAGCACCTGTTATAACAAGTGTATGATTGACAACCGAACACAAGCTGCTGACCACTTGGTTTAAGAAGATGGCCCCGAGAAATTTAAAAAACTAAGCAGGTTAGACTGAGACTGGGCTGCCTAGCTGTGTATTTGCAAGGAATCCAGGCAAAGCAAGTGAAAAGTCCCCACTTCCTGGGGCCATCAGTGTGTTAAGATCCAGTCCTAAACCAGAATCTTCAATATACCACCTGCTTGTTGGTACTTATGTAGCCCATGTTCCCAGTGTCACTAAAAGGTTCATTTCTGAGGGAGTCCACAAGCAGCAGTGGCAGGTGTAACACAACTCACAAAGGTGCCCATTGAGTGAGATTGGTTTGGCAGACAGAGCACCTTCCCTGATCAGTCTGGTCCCATGGGGGCTCGCCAAGCAACTCTTCATGGGGCCTAAGATGGACAGCTTTGCCTCCTAGATATTCTTCCCTTGATTTAAAAATAAAATTTAAAGGGAAATGAAAACCATGTGTTTACACGTAGTTCATCAAATCTATTGTTTTTTGGGCAATGTTTGAAGTCTAAAAAGACTAATGAGACTTTTTTTTTTTTTTCAAAAAATAAAAAGTCTTTAAAAATCTTTTTTCTTAGAAGGAACATGAGAGGCTTTGAAAACCATTCCAAGAGTAAAAATAATAATATTAATAAATTGCTCAAAACTCTCAAGCCCTGCAGGTTCAAAATTGACTTAGTACTCTGAACCCAAGAGATTTGAATTATTACTGGAGTTCATTGTGTCTTGTTATGGGGCTTTGCAGACGGGAGAAACAAGCCACATGGAAGGTCACTAAGATTCATTATGAGGTTTGTTTCATAGCCATGTCTATATCCCTGGAGACTCTCAGAACCTTCTCAGCCTGAACCTAGACAGGAACCTCCACCCTGGCCACCCCCATTCTCGGTTTGGCAGTATCAGTAAGTTGAGCTGCCTTATGTCCCAAATACCGGAGCCAGAGCCCTTCTTGAATGGTTCTCTTGTGGGGAACATAATCTATGGTATATAAATGGGTGATGTGCTATTGGACAGCTAAACAATAGCATGAAAATAGAACAACTTTGGTGAGTAAAAAAAAAAAAAAAAAAAAAAAAAAAAAAAAAAAAAAAAA